CTATCTGCTTGTCGTACCTTCCGATTTAGTAAAGCACGCAAATATCAAAAGACAAAGGCTGGACTGTGACTGTGTATTGAAGTGCAACAACGATAAAGAAAGCCATGGTATTTATACATTTTACAACAATATGGACAGCTAACAGCATTTGAAATAATTTATCTTAATAGCCAATAACAAAGTGCGTGAGAGATGATAATATACCATATGTGCGAGGTTGACAGTCAGTAACAAAATGTGTGGGAATGATAATATACCATATATACAAGATTAGCAGTCACTACCAAAATGTGTGAGAATGATAATATACCATATATACAAGATTAACGGTCACTACCAAAATGTGTGAGAATGATAATATACCATATATACAAAATTAGCAGTCAATACCAAAATGTGTGAGAATGATAACATACCATATATGCAAGATTAAACAGTCAATACCAAAATATGTGGGATCCTATCACATACAAAAAGCGAAATTAAAAATAATTGTGAAACTAGTCATGATAACATAAATAAGAGAGAATCTAAGGCATCCATTGTTATACCATATAAGGAGGAGACATCTGAGACCACCCTCCCTACCTAGGATTCTGAATAAAAGAGGAATTAGGGTGTCATCCAAACCTACAAACTCACTCAGATAGGACAAGCTGTGTAGGTTAAAGGACCCAGTTGACCCAATTAGACGAAATAATAAAATTTACACAATTCGACTATGAGGTCAACTACATAGGTCAAACTAGTAGGTTACGGGTAGTCAGCTTGTCGGAATATAAGAATGTAGCTAAGATAAGAATGGTTGACCCCGAGAAGATAAGTAATTTAGAAAAAAGCTCAGCAATGCATGTAGTAACACACAATAGGATGGTTGGGAGAGGGTTAAAATTCTAAAAAGTAATCTATGTAGGCGGAAGGAGAGATTGATTACCGAATCCTTGTTCATCGGAGTCTACACCAAACACATGCAATAGGAATGATTCATCACTCATACTTAAAAATACTACTACCAATCAAATCAAGTGATGAAAAATAATGGAATTATATAAACGATGTCAGAAAGTTGTGTGAGTAGTGTCTTGATATAATCATGAGCAATAAATTGTGCTTGAAACGTGGTCATCAGTAAACATTACTGTATAACACACTGTAAGACTTTATCAAAATAAATTTTACCCATAATGTTCTACATACTTATTTTCCTCAGCTCAATAAGTTTTAGCTTAGTTGCCCTCAGTTAGTTCTAATGAGAAGTTTTGACCAGCCGATGTAAGGACCAAATAACTTCCGATGATAATGGCTGACAGTTTCACTAAAATCGCTAAAATCCCCGCTGTCAGTATGGTCAGTGAGGTTACCACGTAACCAGAAGGTCCTGGTGTTCGATCTCCCAGTAACTAGGACAGAAGAGTTGTCCAGTATTCCCTGGTGGTTTCCAATGGTTCTCTCTCTCTAACTGATATCAATCCGTAATCAAACCTCGAATCCCTACAAACTAACTCATAAAAATTAGTTAATCTTTGTTTTTGAGCCAGATGGTCTTCAATCTTTCAGACGTCACACTGTCCACTATCCAACTAGAGGCACTATCTCTAGGTTCAAAATTATGCGTAAAACCACCAAGCATTGACAAGCTACGGTGCCAGGTTCAGTTTGAAAATCTAATATACCCAACTTACGATCTCACACCCGCATCAGATGAAAACCTACAACAACTCAAAGCATCAATCCTCGACTGTTTTCACCAAACCCAACGGAAGATTCATTTTGACTAAGAGGCACTATAAGGAACTGAAAGAACTTATGAAAAACGAAGAGATGATGATATTACGTCCTGATAAAGGCGGAGGAATCGTAATCATGAATCGCAGGGACTATATCAGTAAGAAGCTGACTATACTATCCGATGAATGTAAATTTACAAAACCGATCAACCAGAAAAATATAATCCTTGTTTTACTGACTACTAATATCTACTATCAGTAGTATGTATAATGCGGTACATGTGATCACCGTTTTTGATCCTGTTTATCAAGCGATGAAGTAGAGCACATATCATACACTGATAATTTTTTCACTTCCAATAAGAAATCGCTGTTGTATATTATTTAATTCAATTTGGACTCTCTCGTTGATTGATTGGACCGACTTGCTCAGTCTCAGGTTGACATGCGCATCCTGGACTCCACTGCTAGTCACTACCCACTACCAATTTACTTCATGTTAATGATATATTGGATGGTTGGAGGCAATCGACCACAAGAAGCCTCTCCTGACCTAGGTTTTGTGCTACTTGGCACTCACTCACCAGTCAGCAAGGCGTATCTGCAACTGCCTTGAAGGAACTCATGTCCCACCCCTCTGAGATTCGAACCCACGTCACCCAGTGCTCGCTGTAGTCAGAGACGTTACCACTGAGTCATTCGGGCTACTTCAGGTTAAATAATCAGACATCACTGTTGAAGCGTAAGCACAAGGAACCGACCGATATGTCAGTCTGGCATCGAGCACTTCGGCTCAATCAATCAACAGGATAGTTTAAAGAGAGGGGTGGCTTTCGTGGTAACACTATCACTCGCTGGGAATTACAGGTAAATCCTGTTGATGAGTGCTAAGTTGAAGATCCATCTTCTTCTTTTCACCGTCCACTGAATAGATGGTTAAAATTATGGACAACAAAATGACCTATTCGAGATGTACAATTTTTAGAGTTGACTTTTCCTACTGCCCCGCGCCTCCTCTCTCCAGAGTGAATGGTTTCAGTTAGTCCTTTGCCAAACCATAATGGTAGACGTGTAGGGGATATGTCGTGGCAGCCGTTACAACTACTTCGTCAACCTTGTGTGTGGATTAAGCAGTTGATGCATATGATGCCTGAGAAGCTGAGATGGAGTCCATGAGCCTAAATCGCATGCAGTAAGTAACTGCTGGATCCGTTTCGCATCAGAAACACTACTCCTACTTTGGATAAAAACTGCTTTGAGTCTATCATATTGGTGGTCTGCAGGAGCTCTGTCGAATAAAATCACTAATGTTCTCGAGATCCTCTGTGGACAGTGCAGCTAAGACACATCCATACTTTTGTGATCTATGACTTAATCCCTCAGATAGCAAAAAGGGGTTCAATGATGGTGAACTGAATCCGTGGCTCAGTGAAACCAAATGAAGGTCGACGCAGGTTGACTATTGCATTGATTGTTGAGTCCTGTGCTTCGTCAGTCTCAGGTGCAGCAAGTGAATCTGTAGGTGAAGACATGAGTATTATGTGAATATACAGGTACACGGATATGTAAATATAGAGTTTATAAAGCAAGATGTTCAATCGGACTCACTAATTCATTTGTAGGGGACTGTCCAGAAAGCTCATTAACATTACAAATATGCAAATAAAAGTCCAAGTCAATGAGATGATTGTATAACAATATATTATCGAAAATGTAGTAATGAGTTATATTAATTAAAAGGTTACTTGGATATACTGTTAAAGTCCACTGCTACAAATTATTAATATAATCCACAGAAGCAGGCACAGTCGGAATCATGTCTACCGGTAGAAACTGTGTGTCTGTTTCAGAGTTGTCTTCGGATAAGGATAATAGATTCCTGCAGTAAATCCAAAGTATACAACACAGTATGAGTGGAGCAAGGTGATAGTAATGACCAGTCAGAAGTCGAAGCTACCTACCAACAGTATAGTGTATTTCGAATTGTACTCGGACGTTATATACGTACTTAAACATGAATCGTTTTGAACAAAAATCATGTACAGTGTCTGTAATTTAGATGTCTGACAAAAAGTGTACAACCATATTGTTACGTACTCCACAGATGTTCGGTAACACGTTGGTTGGCTAAGTTGTCTATTTAGCAGTACGCTTAACGACATAACTCATCGCAAAAGAGCACAGTCCAGTTGCTTTTCCAGCTTTCAAAAGCGCACACCAGATATCTATGGTCGGCCTGCGAAATTCGGGCTACCGATATCCACGCTGAAAATTCCATACTTGTACCAAAAATACAGTGTGGAATCAAGCTGTTACCAATAATAAATAATAATAATAATTGCGGATGATTTATGTTTGATGTCACTGTCACAAAATCGAAGAGTTACAAGCGAAAACCGACAAACTGGTCGAAGAAGCAGTCGGTGAAGACAGGACTCCAGGTGAACATACACAAGACGGAGTTTATGAAAATAACCAACCAACAACAGCAACATCCAGTGCCAATCACCGTCAACGGGAGGGATTTGAAAGAGGTTACTTCATTGACTTATCTAGCACTGAGCATTTTCTCAACCACAGGAAGTCGGAACGGACGAGGATGTCCAATCGAGAATCGGGAAGGCGAGAAACACGTTGTTCATCAACCTGAAACCGATCTGGAAATCTTCGTCACTCAACTCAGCATCAACAACCAAATTCGATCGGATTTTCAATACAAACAACGTCAAGTCAGTCAGTTCTTCTATACGGATCAGAAACTTGGCGCTTGGTGTGTCACAAAGAATATTTCCAACAGCCTGTTGCAGACCTTTATCAACAACTAACTGTCTTCGCTGGCTCTATACTGAAGATCAGATGGCCGTACTGGAAGGAATCATCAACAAGAAACTATGGGAACAAACAAAATAAGAACCAATCGTCAACCAACAAATATGCAGGAGAAAGTGAAGAGATGGATTGGACACTCGCTGAGGAGATCGCTGTGTGACACCGCGCGCGCGTCAGGCCATCACTCGAGTGGAACCCGAAAGGTAAGCGTAGAATGGGACGTCCAAGAGTATAGACAGAAGCAAGTGGAGATGTGCAGTTGAAGCCCGATGTTCCACTAGGAACCCAAGGGAACAATAATAATAATAATACAACACATATAGATGTGCGTGGTAAAACTATCTAGCTAGCTAATCTATCCTCTTTTTGAGTGTGACTCACTCAACATTGTTGAGGCTTATATTATTATTGTTGTTGTTGTTTTTTCTAAATTTTTGTCTCTAGGTGCATCGATATTATCGATCATCAGGTGCAAGTTTACAAAAAGCTAAATTAGAAATGACCAACGCCGCGATGTATGAACATGCTGCTACAGGATTTGGTGCAATGCCGTAAAAAAATTCTGATCATGACGAGAAGGTGAAGAATAGAAGAAGAATAAAACCGGGTCAAATTTCACTAATCCATCCCCTCCCCCCCCACACCTTGAAAAACAAACAAATATTAATAATACATGATCTATACTACTTATATGCGCATATGCAAAGTATCCCGTGATACATATCATTCTGCTAACCTTATACACTCTTCTCTTATTATTATTATTATTATTATTATTATTATTATATATTAGCTGACAGAAAAGAGAAGCAATACATATACAACATATATTATGGCTGTGAAATGTATTCAACCTTTGTTTTCATTTTGTCTTCTCTTTCTCTATTCATTGTGATGATAACCAGTGTTGTTTCATCATTTATGACGTGTCTTTTTGATGATACTGGACAAGTTGATTTTTTCGTCAGGATGGCTTGTTTGTTTGCTTGTGTGTGTGTGTGCGTGACAGGAACTGCTCCAAAACACAAAGTTCATCATTCCATTCCCATTTCCCTCTTTTATTATTTTTCTGTTGTTTTTTCTTTCCCCGGAAAACATACCTAAATATTGCCTTCTATGCGGTAACCTTTTGTTTGTTTGTTTGTTTTTCTACAGTGAACTATGACTACGTCATCATCATCATTCCATTGTGACTGAGAATTTCTCTCTTTTTTTAATGTTATGTAACGTTGTTTGTTCTTATTTTATTTATATTTAAAAAACAAGTTGAGTTTTTCTTTGTCTCCCCTGCCTCTCTCGCTCTCGCGCGCTCTATTTGTGTGTGTGTGTGTGTGTGTTGTTTTACTTGCGTGTTACCCCCTCCCTTTTGAGAGAAAAGTACTTCAGCCGCGCATGTCACCATTGCGTTCGGTTCTCTGTTAGAACTTTCACCTGGCTCCAAGTCTGCCACCCACATGCTTTTTCATCTCCTCTTCACATGACCTCCTCATCCAAGTCACTATCGCAATGATGACCAACTTGCCGCTTCCCACTCGAGCAATGGTTTGTCTAGTGATGTCACTCACTTGATGGTTTGTTTCCTCAGACTATGGCCACTAATCCAACTTCATTTCTTCCTGCCAAGTTGTTTCACAATCGGTTCCTGGTTGGTTTGCTCCCGGAGATTCTTGTTGCTGATCTCTTTTGGCCATATAATCTTGAATAGTATTGAGCGAAGACAGCTGTTGATGAAGATCTGTAGTTTGTTCGTATCGTAAGTAGCACTGACTTCACATTGGAGTTGGAAATCCAGATCGTATGTTTCATGCTGAGCGCTGTTGATCTCCACACACAGACTTCCCATCCTCGCTGCCTTGATATCCTCGACAATTCCTATTGTAGTTGAAACGATGCTTCCCAGGTAGGTAGGTAAAGGAGGTTGTTTCTTTCAGGTTCCTCCCATTTATGCTGATTTTTGTCTGTTGTTGTTGCTGCTGTTGAATAAGGTTGATAAAGATTTGGGCAGTGCACGCGGTAGTGTTTAGGTATTTTCCAAATCACTTCTCAGTCAATGCTGTTTATCGAAAGCCATTTCGAAGTCTAGGTATATATGTGCTTGACTTTGTGTCCAGCAGGCTGTGTCTGCACAGGCAGTATATTGCACATCACTTAATTATCACACATCGACATATTATGATTACTGTGATTATTAACTGTAAAAAAATTATCAATTTAATCCGAAGATATCAATTCAAAATTTTGTATTGACAATAAGATAGTCAGTTTAATTTCTATTTTGCTGTATTAGTAAGTTTGTAGAGTGTGTGCCAACCTACCTCACAGCAGACTTTAATACGTTTACAGAATCATCAGACGTCCTTCATGTAAATTGAAGATAGAGCTCCTCTGAGACAGTCAGTGTGAATATCATTTGAAAAAAAAAACGAGAACGACGAACATACTAGGATAATTTGGGCTCATGTTTTCATTTATTATTATTTCGTGGATTCTTCTCAACTGGTTACAACCTGAATAATACCAAAATTGTATGAAATTAATAAAGAGTTAAGAGGTGAGAAAATAGACTACTTAGGTCAAGTTAAAATGTCACCATATTGAAGGTCAAAATAACAATGAAGATCGATCACTGAACCAAATAACAGAGGTAATAGTATATCCTACTTTGGTTGGTATCAAAACAAAGTTTACCAAAGATGTAAAAAATTATATTTGTAAAATCTCAGTGATATTGAAATGAGTAATTCCAACGTTTCGTTCGGAAATCTGGTCCGAACTTCTTCAAGGAAATTAATCGAAATTAACATAACAAAGTTTATATATAAAAGGAACATCTTTAGTTCTTAAAATCTTTGTCCAATCATGATTTGTAAAACAAATATTAACAAGTATAATAAACAAAATTGTAAATCATGATTGGACAAAGATTTTAAAAACTAAAGATGTTCCTTTTATATATAAACTTTGTTATGTTAATTTCGATTAATTTCCCTGAAGAAGTTCGGACCAGATTTCCGAACGAAACGTTGGAATTACTCATTTCAATATCACTGAGATTTTACAAATATAATTTTTTACAAATGTCTACTTCTCACTCGGCGCCCAAATATTATAGAACTATTCTGTCAAATCTTGACTACAGTTCATTTGATTTACCAAAGATGGTTTAGTATGGTGAAGAATTGTTTTTGATGAACGCATAAAGGTGGTGGTTTAAACTCCCTGATTGCTAGCTAGGGCTTCCACAAACTTTAGAACACGTTCTATAAATAGGTTTTAAAGGTGTGTAAACATCACCTTTATGTCCTGTCTCCTCTATAATATGTTTTGCAGTAGAAGAGTTAGTTCGCCTGTTCTCACCATTAATGGATTCCGGAGATTCAATTTGCTTGTGAAGCCCTTACTTCCAGAGGTAGATGAATCTTCCCTATGTATATGTGGCTACATGTAGATTCACTTTGTCAAATAAGACAGGTAATAGTATATCTGCCTCTAAACTCTTTATTAATACCGAAATTTGATATTAAAGATGTGAACATACGTTTTTACAATGATTTGCCTTCAGGTGTTTGATGGTGATGACCTCAGCAAATCGAAGCAGGTTAGGTTTCTTTTGTCTGTTTATTATTTTGAAAGCTTTCAGATTGTCCACAACATGGCCAGTTTCCAGCAGATGGCGTGCAATCGCACTGTTTAGTGCTTGTGGACTCTGTAGTCTCAGGTTCTTCGGAGATGCGGATAGTAACTCTTCCAATGTATGCGCTTTGCTACGTACATGTAAATTGGTAAACGCAGTTGGAGGTAATATGAGGTGGGAGTCTGTCCCCTTTTGCCTGTCTTAAACAACTGATCATTTGATATATATATACAAGCATCATCTTACATTTGGAGGGACACCACTAGTTGTCAGCAGTTCATATGAAAACTAGCGGTATCCGACAACGAAGGGTGCCCATTGTCCTTATTTCTATTCAGTTTCATTATAGATGTACTAATAGACTTAGCCCTAACTCATTTCAGAGACTCAAGGGTTTGCTTGTTACCAGGGAATAATCTCGTTGACTTTGAATATGCAAATGGTATAGTCGTTCTAAGAGAGAATACTGACAAAATGCAGAGTCTTCTGAACACCTTCAGCAACGATCTTCGAATGTTTGTCGTGAGATTCACTCACGCCAAATGTAAGATGATGTTATAGGACTGGACTACATTGACTTCTAGCTTAGAAATAGCGAATCAAGTGGTTAGTGGAGCGTGTTGACCACTTCACTTAATTGGGAATTTGCATCAGCAAGTGCCAACGAGTTGTTTGCTGACGAAACCTCTGCACGCATACAGAGGTCTAGTTTCGCATATGCTGGTCTACGTCATCTCTCGCGTAGATGTGATATCCAGGTGTCGACCAAAGGACATGTATACTGCTCAGCAGTCCACACCGTCCTCTTTTATGGCTGTGTGACCTAGTCAGTGAAAGTGGATGACACGCAAAGGCCAGCTGTCTTTGATTATAAGTTCCTGCATTCTATCTCCCGTGTGAAGTGGTATAATAAGGTGAGCAATATTGAGGTTAGGCGTCGAGAGCTAGGTAGGGAGGGAAAATCAATCGACGAGGCTGTGAAGTTACATCGATTGAGATGGTTAGGACATCTGTTACGCTTCCTAGCGTAGCAGTCGTCTTCCTAGACACAATATTAGCTGATACAGGGTCAGGTTGGAAAAGAGCCAGTGGTGGTCAAACAAAAACGTGCTTTCACCAGTCAGTGAAATCCACAACAGTTAGTTTGAGCCAGCCATGTAGGGAGAAGTAGACTTCCTGACTGGTTGGGGTCCTCCGGACTGGAAAAAATTGGTGATATGGCGTGAAATCGTTCTCAATGGTGCAGATGCATCCACTCCTTGTAACTTATGATTTCCAATGAAACTATATTGTTCTTCGTTATTACTATTCCTTTGTCTCACACCTCTGTTTACTGTCTCTATTTTGCGTTTCTTTTTACTTCCTTCTGTTGCTTTTTGTGTTACATGGAGTGTGGCGACTCGAACTTCTGCACATCAGTGCAAAGTTCTATGATGAAAGCAGTCATTCGGTCAGTCAGTCAGTAACTAGTGCCATGTGTCCAGTCCTTCGTCTATCACAGACTGAATTCTATATGTTACCTATTATAGTGGAATAAGCAATCTAGAAAAACACCCTGCTATTACAATGTGTTCAGTGATACATAATCACATTATAAATGTTGTGAATGTTGTCTTTTTTAATATAGTTAGTTATTGGAATTCATCATGAACTGATATCTGTTAGAAAACCATTGGAAAATCTGAGAGTACTAGACAGTTGTTTAGTCCCTTTGGTCTGGGACTCTTCATCAACACTCACACAAACTGCGTGGTTCGAACCCAAGACCTTCTGGATGCAAGGCGAGTTCGTAGACAAATTCATCAGTCACTGGGACCCGATCCTAAGGCCAGCCCATGAATTCCAACTCCTGCCAATTCATGACAAGACGTGACCATTAGAGAATGTCATCGCTGGCGAATATTTTTCCTCACACCCAACTCGCTGTGAAGATAAGGGGGGGGTTGATTACTACTGAGTCTTTTAGTTGATTTCTTTAGTTCCTCAAAACAACTTTGCAGTTGTTAAAGTTCTAAACACCACTGAAACACCTTTTGTTTACTCCAACTGTGTTGATTTTTTTTACTTTATTCAAAGGCAAACAGAAGTTTTTTTCTTTTCCTTCACGTTCCCCACTGGAACATAGGGCCTCAAGCTAGTGGCTTGAAGTTTCTGTAGCAGTATTTAATTTTTACAGGATGGGGTTGCTAGCCTCATGCCCAACCTTTCCTCTTTACCACCATTATTTCTGGCTTAGCGAGGTAAAGGCGTGCGTCGACCGGGGATCGAACGCCGAAACATGTGCATGGTCGGCGAGCGTCCTAACCGCTATGCCACCGACGCACCAAATAGAATTTAGAGCATTGAAATTGTATTGCGAGGAAATCCAAAGCAATCGGGGAAAAATTTAACCATTCACTGATAGTATAAATAAATAAATATGCAAGTGAAAATGGATAAGCCGGTAAAGAGACCTATTTTGTAATTTTTCCTCCAAATAACTATAGCTATATAGGGGATTAATCTACAGTGTTGATTGACAACAAAGTTCGGTGGTAACTTTTGTAATAACAGAAGACAACGGGCCAGGCAACAGATCGTTTATTAAGGGAATCAGCACGTATTTATATATATATTTCATGTACATTATTATCCCTTAGTCAAGCAGACAAACACAGTCTTCTGATTGGTTGTTTCTTGCTCAAGGTTTTTCTGTACTGCTTGTAACTGGTTTCTCAGAAAGTTAAG